GCTGCGAGGGCCCCAACGACCAAACGTGGTCCTTTTGCTCGCAGCGGTACAGCCGCGCAAGCTTGAAGAGCCGATCCTGGTACAGACAGTGTAAGTGTATCGTGCGTCGGGTGTTGAGGTTTGCGGCTCCTGAAGCTTCAGCTTGCCCAGAAAACTGGCTTAGGCAAAGTCTCCAGTTCATTCCATCCAAGGCCAGGACTTTGAAGCCAGTGGGCTCAGGCTCACCTCACTCTTTACAAGGCCAAAATCCTTGAGCTCTGCCAAGACTGTGGTTCCACACAAAGGTCTCCAGCCTTCACTGTGCAGCACGGCACCGTGTTTGTTGCCATCCTCGGCTCAAATACACTTTGGAAGTATGAAGACCCTTGAGACACACTGAAGGATGTGCCTGCCTGTGACCCCGACAATGCGGTTCAAAATTACCGTCCAATAAATGACGTTTCATGAACAAGATGGCAAATGAGATCTCCAGATTTCGCACTTCCACCACTACGTGCTCAGAAACTCAAGAAGCCGAGGCAATAGCACAGCCGTTGCCAACCCCCACACGGACGTATCTGACAGGATTGCAGGGCAACAAACGTTGGGGGCATGTCTGCTTGGGACCGGAGCCCTATCACATGCAGCAAGCCCTGAGTGTGTAAAGACTCTCGCACCCAGAAGGATGTAGAATTTTAATGCTCAGTTGCAAGAATCCACCGAAGCAGCGATGCAGTGAGTCGCATACTCTGAGTCCGCTGCCCATCGGACTCCTTGACCGGGCCTTGGCAAAAACCAGACTTAACAGACCAAAGCCACGAAGAGCAAAGGTTCCCAGAAGAGAGACAGCACATTGTTCTTGAACTGGAGCAAGCAAAACAGGCATTTTCCCAGCCTCTAATACATAAAGATTCCTGCAAGTGTTCAAACTAAAGAGGCCCGAAACCTCTTCGAAGATCAAAGGACTTGCTGCAGACAGCGCTGTGGTGTGAGGCGAGCACACCGAACAAGTAGGTCCAAGAAGTCCGTGCAGTTTCGCAGCTCCTCTATCAAGGATTGCTAGCTGCTGGCAAATCTTTGCGGATACGGCCATCAGGCCTTAAGCCTGCAAGGAAGGTGCAAAAAAAGCCTTTGCAAGATGACCGTGGTGAAAGAAGGCGCTTAACTATTTTCTGAAAGTTGAATTTGACAACGAACAAGGTGAACGACCCTGTCTTTTAGGAATCCTAGCCAGCAAGCTTGTCCTTGAAAATGCTTGTCGCAAAGACAAAAACGCAGACCTTGCCACACTGTGCGAAGAAGCCTATACCTACAGGCAGCACCTTTCGGATGCTCTGGGCAAGTAGTCAAGCAATGGCCCTGGCTTGTCTGAATCACATTACTTGTAAATTGCAAGTCTGCTGCCAACAAACTGTGTCAGCTGTAGCGGGGCTGTAGCGGGGCACAGCACGAATCAAAGCCATGCCTAATCCTTCTCTGGAGACTGCAGGGCCCCAGCCAGTTGAAGGTAAGCCTTGCGTGGTTCGCACCTCGGAGCGACACACAGAGATGGTGTTTTTGAGCGTGCCAAGCGCTAGCGCTGTTTTCGGTAAAGGTAGCTGGTGTTGCCAGCTGCTGAAGATCCGTATCACGCTGATTTGCTGAAGGAGTGCTAGCACCTCAATACTGCATACGAGAGCTAATGCACGAGGAAATTGTATGGGTCAAGAGAATGCTCCCCGTAAACTGCCATATTGGACGGCCAAACTTCAAGACCTAGACAAGTTTCGGCCAAAATCTTGGTTCGTCAACCTGTGCGCTTGAAAGCTGAGGCTCAAACTGAGCCCCTTCATTTTGCCTGCGTGGGAGTTTGCCGGGTCTACCCCATGCACAGTAGTGGGGTGTGAAGCAGCAGCTGCTGCTAAACATGGTTCAAGATTATGCAACTGTCTCCGGATCTTTCAGGATATTCAACGAGGCTTGGCAGTACAAATGATAGGCCCCTACCCTGGGAGCACTCCACTGCACCAGTCCGCAATCGAAACCCAAGCCCACGTAATGCCCGTGCGCTGTAACCCACGGCGTCTCCTGGAAGCACGGATGCGCATGAGGTCCCAAAACACATTAAATCCTAATTCAAGTCTCAAACCTCAAAAATGCATCATTTTGGGCTGCGCTGCCTCATCGTAGTCTGCTAACTTGCAATCATTGTAACCAACCTGAGAAAAGCAAAAGCCCTTTGAATCCTAAACAGAAACATTTGACCGACTATCTTGAACACTCACTTCAACCAGCGTGCCTGTTGATCTTGTGAATCCTGGTTACATACATCAGCTGGATGCCGAAATTCACCTAAGTTCGCGGCTTCAACACTGCGAGGAGCGCAAGAATTTTGTGAAGCCATGGAGATTGACATCTGGATTTGGCGCTCGCTTCTTCCGCAGTGAACTGGTGAGATGGGTCAGCAGCTTAAAACACACTGGACAGCCGCAGAGTCTTCACAACATGCCTAAACAAGCAAAAGCACAATGACATGCCCCAATGGTTTCGTCCAAAACTTGAAAAGTGGACACTCCACCTTGAGCTTTGGCTAGAGCACTTCCAAGATCAGCTCCTAAGGTAGCGAAACTACTTCCAGCGGCTACATCTGGACCGCTCTACAAGGTCCGGGGGCCAAAGCAGCAGGCTCTTCGTCTAGCATCCAATAACTCGGCTAGGAAGAACTGCATCAGCTGACGGTATCTTCAGACAGACATAAGTTACATAAGGCATAAGGACTTGTAATGGAGAACCTCAAGCTTTCAAGAATCAAATCACGGTAGCTTCCATACTGTCCAGCCAACCACATAGTCTTCATTTTGTTGTTTGTTAGCCGTGGTGCGCTGGCAATAAACAACGCAGAGATGGTGGTGGCGAGAACCCGAGTTAGTAACTTCAAGGAGAGTGGCCATATCATGAACCATGGGGGCATGTTATTGTGTTTTTGCTTGTTGACGTTTAGGGCCCCCCTCCCCTGTCTCTTCAGCAGGAACCTCACCAAGCTGCTGTTTCGGCTTTGTTTTGGCAGGCCGCCTCTCACCCAGATGGCCCTGAGAGAATTTATCGTCCGGCCACGTGGCCACTGTTGCTTCGTGCAGACACTGACACAACCGCCGCTGTCTGACGGTTGCTGAGCTGCTAAAGAACAGCAACAGCAACAGAAAAAGCGTCCGCAGAAGCAGCAGCCATGATACTGCAAACCACTTTCCAGGCGCAAACTTGCTCGTCCTGTTCCTGGTGCGGCCACGCCACTGCCAGAAAGAACACTGTCCGGGTCATCTCCAGAAAGAATATGACATAACCTGGAGAGAAATCAACTGCCATGATGCGTCTTTCGCATGCAAGTTTCAAAACGGGGCACCCCAACAAATGGTAAACCAAGAGACTCTAACACTGGCGGCGAATGGGTAACAACATGGTCTGCTAGAGCATCCTCGGTAGTTTACCTGCCACTGTGAGCAAGTATTTGGACAGCTGAGAAGGCAGCCATCAATCCGGACGTTGAGCTGCAGAGGTTCGACGACCTTTCTATGCGCCCCGGCTGGAGAAGCGAAACATCTTCGATTACAATCGCTTCAAAGACAAGCCATCATGATGTCTCTGCGCGGCTTCGTCTAGATTGCAAACTGTGGTGCGAGCCCTTTGAGATGTGCCTTGAGCCCCAGACTTGACCTAGACGCACCCTTATGGAGCATCGCAATAGGCTAAGAATCCAGCAAATAAGCCATAGAGATCGCAGGGCACTGGTAGAATTTCCGTAGATCCTCCCACTTCCTTCTCTGGAACAAATGAGGCATTTGGAGAGCTTTCTTTGTGACATTCTTGCGGGGGCTTCTTTACTCTGATCTCTGAAGCTGACAACCTTTCTTCTAAGATCGAATCACGACCACTCTAGGCTTGGGGTATTGTCATCCTTAAGGTCGGCAAGTCAAGGGGCCGAAGGTTTGGGGTTGCAAGTTGCAGTCTCGCAGAAGCCAGAAACTTCAGAAACTTCTGCAGCTCGTCAGCATCCAAGCATCGGTAGCTGACGACGCCGCCGTTGATGCTGTCGAAGGCGTCTCGGACTTTCGTTGTGGCAAAATTGCTCGCAGCGCTGCAGACATGGCCAGATCTAACGGATTGGAATTCTACGCGGTCCCCTCAATTCTATCAGACCATTACTGCTGCCATGAACAAACATAAACCAGCTGGCAGGGGCAACAGCCCAAGCTAGGTGTGGCAGGATCAGGCTGACGCAATTGTAAAGCTGAGGGGGCTATGACAGCTAGCAAGGGCAAAGGTGAGGATATGTCAAGGTGAGGATAAAGGTGAAGGCAGGGGTGACAGGTGGTAGGAGGAAATGTGAGGTAAGTGGCAAGCTTAAGAACTCAAGAGAAGGGGGAAAAGTAAGGTGGAGCAAGGGAAAGAAATGAGAGTCGCTGGCAAGCATAGAAAAGGGGCATTGGAAGGTTTTGGGTGCAGGTAAGGTGTCTTTGGAACGAGAAGATTCGAGGTGCAGCTGAGAGGAACGCAACCGCGCTCGACCACCGTGACTCTTAAAACGTCTTAGCAGACGACGACAGTCTCCAACACACTTAATCCACGCTTACGGAACCTTGCGGGCGCTCGTGGGTGCTGAGGCAGCGATTTACCAAGGCAACGATTTACCTTCACGTCGTCAAGGCCATTCAAGGCCTAAGACACAGCAACCTCAAATGAGAACTCCTTCAAGAAAGAACTTTCCGTCCATACCTTCATAATTGCTAGAGCTCTAATTTGCTGGATCCTGGCAGCAACCAATTCGTGCATACTCAAAATGATCTTGAACTTCAAGCCACGAGACTCTGCAAAAAAAAACACTATTTAGCAGACCATTTGCGGCAAGTATATCATAATATGCTCAAGCCACACAGCCTTGAACCAGTGAAGGCAAGCTGAGTCATGTCATCTAAGACTCTGGAGCCACGCCATAACAAGAACTGGCAAGCCAGACCTCTTTTCTTTTGCTGCGTAGCTCTCCAGCACTAACTGTCAGGGAAAACTTTTTTCTTTTCCCTCTCCAGCTCGGATGCAGTGAAGGCCTTGTTGAAAATGCCTCACGGAAGGACAAGCAACATGCAAGTGCTGCAAGTGGCTAAGCTGGACTCTGACCAGATTTGCATTTCTCTGCAAACAAGGCACGGCCTTCAGGCTGCCACTGTCCGTTGTGCAACCTGACTTTCGTCAAGGCCCCCAAGCGATTAACCTGCTGAAACCTTGCGCCTGTTGAGAATACAACTTCCCATCATAACTATCAGTAGCCTTGAGCCTGCAAATCACGGCGCTACAGCCACTAAGCCACATTTTGCAAGCTGCGTGTTGGCTTGACTGATTCAGCAAGGCACTGCTTATTCAACTGTGACATCTGTAAACCCTTCAAAGCAGAAAATGTAGGTAGTCGCACACCTCGCCGCAAACGTCTCGGCCACGATCAGTGGCACTACAAGCGTTGCCTCCGCGTAAACCTCATCCAAGATCCTAGCTACAGTTGTCGCTGGCAAACAAGACATTTGTGGTATCTGACGGTATCTGTGAACATGGCTCTTTGTACCCTCACATCTGTCCATGTTCCGGACCAGGAAGTAGTGAATCGCATTTGGATCAGGATGTTTTAAGGTGTGATGAGCCCGGCTCTGGCCTTGACAGGCTTTGCATCCATCCGGATCTTTCCCCAGCTCACCGCCTCATCTGGCCGCGCGCCGCTATCGGAGCCATCAAACTCCTTAGGAGGGAAGGCTGAAGCGAAACAAGACGCGAGCCATTGCGTCGTGATAACATGGACGTGATGCTTTGGAGGCAAACATGCAAAACGCCCAGCCTGGGCCGTGTTCACATACACCACGAAGTCAGCGCCATTGCCTTGCACTATCAGGAAATGCTGATGCAGGATGTGGTCATGCGATGTTCCACACAGCTGTGTGCAGATGGGACTAGGCCGCTCTGAACAGGGCCAGCCCCACAGATCGGCTACTCACGTACAAGGCGAAACACTACACTCCTTTGGCCTCTAAAACATTGTGCTTAACAACTAATTCCTGTCGAGTAAAAATTAACAACTGTCTTGCGAGCGAAACTACCCTCTCATTGCACGGGATGCCATTTGCTCAACAATTCCTGCAGAGTACATGTAAAAACTCAAAAAAAATAACGATGTTGATTCCAATGTGGGAACATGCAAAGAGCCGGCCTGGCTGCAGCTGATTTAACGTCTGCGAAACATACTGGAAGAATGCTTCGTGCTCCAACACTCCAGAAACGCAGCAGTAGCAGCATGCACCAGCTGACAAACGCCTAGGACAGCTTCTCTTGTGTGGGGGGGGGGAGGGCTCCTCTGGCATATTGCCTCCTTCAGTCCTAGTCCAAGGCAACTGCGCCATAACTGGACCCCTCAATTCATCCAAGAAGCGCATTAGGTTCGCGTTCATGCAATGGTGCTTCACCAGACCGCCTCCTCAAAGATTTCACATACTTTCGCTAGCGGCAAGTTGCCGTGTGCATGAGAAGAACCTTTGGGTGGAAGGCACTTATTCAGACTGATTACGTGATACTTATGGATATTCACATGAGTGAGATGCATGTTGTGAAGTGATGCGCCCTCTAAAGAATCATAACACACTGTATGTGTGCCGCCAGGCGTCCAAGAACTATGACGCCTGTCTTCCGGGCTTTCATGGCTTCATCATTCACTCTGCGGATGTCTTGCACCAGGTCCACCACGAGGCCTCAATGGATATGTAAAGAGGTCAGGAGGTTGGAGCCAACGAAAACATGATATCTTCGTGTGTTGGTGAACAACACTCGGAGTCAGAGCAAAAACGCGGTAGATCATTTGATGCGGCGGACAACCTGCATCACTTTTCGAGGGTTCCTTAATGTTCTTTATAGGCAATGTGTGTTGCAGCACCTTTGAACTTTTCCAGCACATAACAGTCACACTACCGCAAGTTGACAAGGTGGAGGAATATAGATCCATCTTGTTGATAAGCTTGAGCATTCAAGAGCTAAGATATTCCAACAACTGGCTGCAGTGCTGCAGCAAAGGTGAGAAATCTTGATCAAGAAACCTTGTTGTTCGTGTAGCATTCGCCAATGTGCTTTCATAGGGGATATCATAGACATGGGAACAACAAGTCGGCCATCCAAATCCGGTTCCACCTAACCATCTGCATTCGCATTGCAAATTCTTGGTCCAATGCCTGTTGAGCGGCACGGCAGAATTTTGAAAGCAGGGGAGAAAAAGCTAGAACGATCCGTGGAGGTGCTCATCAAGAAGGAGGCCAAAACGTTCCCCTGACAGGAACGGTCCTTTGGGTTGGGAGCGGCCCTTCCCCCCAAAAAAATCTTGCACAGCGGAGGCGAGGCCCCAATGGTACAGTGGCCCCCCGTGCAACCTTTTGATACCACACACCCCGAAGCAAATCGCTGGGGTGGCGATCCATACCAAGAGAATTCTCTTCTCCAACTGCTGCTGAGCCCCAACGAACTAGCTTTCGTGACAAAAGCTCAGCAGCACGTGCTTAAGCATGCCAAATGCTTCACGTTTATGGAAGGCGATGTCACTGTCAGAAACATCAGCGCAATCATCAGGCACCATGTTCTCCCGTGATTGCCCCCCGAAGGGTAATACTGACATGCTCAGGAAAGAATGCCGGAGGGCGTCAAGCGGTGGTGAGCTTTGCCCCTTCCAGTCTCAAAATAACGAAAGATACCTAAGTAACAAACGGTGCCGTCTCACGACGAAAATCCGAAACAAAATTGACTTACGTACGCTGTGTCCGAGCGCTGTCTTCCACTTGTTTCACTTAAAACAACCAAGGTCCAGGATACTGACAGCTACCGAACCAAAGGAGAGCGTCCGCTTCTCTTGTAGCTGTGGAAGTATAGCATATCACCAATGGAGCCATCTGTGATCGCCGGGCAGAAGAGCGGGATGTTGTTGCCTTAGGCAAGAAACGTCCTCTTGGATGCAATTCAAATTCGATTCTAGCTATCTTCAAATCATAATCTGAGAAAAATTGATTCGAAAGCTCTTAGCAGCAGCATAGTACAGTCAACACCGCAACGTCTGCAAGTGACATGGCACTGCAGTGCCATGTTGAGGCGTGAAGCTCATTCAATGAGACTCAAATGACTTTCTGAGCATTCTGCTCAACACCTGTGATTCAAGACCGATATTGCGGCAGTCAAGCTAGAAAAACTGAAATTTGAGGAGTTGAATTCTTAGCGCAGGCCGCATCAAAACCTTGCTAGCCAAAGCAAAGATGGCATCAAACAGAACCAAACTGCGATATGCCCAATAGCAGACGGAGTCAGGGTGGTTGATCTCCTGCCCGGAATCAATTTCGGGCTCTTGGGCGTGCCAGTTGAAACACAAGTGCAAGGTGAGCATCAGACTTGCCGGGCACGGCGTGAGCCGGCAAGACAAGCTGGCCTTTCCAAAGCGATGGATCATCTTGGACGGAGACCAAACAATTCCGTCTTTCTCCTGAACTGGCATGATGCTGATCCTCTCCTGTTGGGCTTTGAATGCTTTGTTTCCAACTTGATGAGCCTGGAGCTTGCCCCAGAGCTGACAAGCAAGACATGTCCAGCAACAAGCCATCAATTATGCTAGCAGGCAAGGTGAGTGACATGTCAAGTTGCAAGTGCATCCAAATTGCTTGCTCATCATGCATAGCATCCAGAATCTTCATGATCCAGTCCTGAACGTTTCACACTCCCTAAAACCATAGCAGCCATGAACTCTGCCTGCACCCAGGGACAGATCCAATACTTAAGATTGGTGCGTCAGCAAATTCATGGAGTTGCTCCTCAAAGAGACAGTAGTTGTCATTGGGTGCCAGAAGGTTTCCTCAGTGCAAAAGCGAGCCTTGAGACAACAACCGTCACGCAGCTTCATCCAGGCAACCTATGCGATTGATTCCTCGCCGTCGCAGGCCAGCCCCCTCTAGAGCGAATTCCCCAAGGTGTGTGGGTGCCAGGCACTTTATGATGTCCTGCACACACAAGCACGTTGATCCCAGCTACAATCGCAAGGAGAGCTGTGAAAAAAAACACATGCACACATGAATAAAAGGGACGTCCTCCTCAATCCCACCAGCAGTGGTTATCATTACCTTGGTGACAACTTCATCTTTTGAGCATACGTTCGGGCCAGGCTCCCACTGCCTTGGCATACATGTAACTGCCCGCAAAATCTTGTTCGGCAAATGGCCGGAATGCCGACTTCTTTCATGTCCACAGAGCGCATGCGAACCCTTCTTGACCCGTGCCTGTATCAGGCCTTATAGCCCAGGCAGTGTGTTTCACTACTGCTTGTACCACTGTAATCAAGACAGTCGAGGGGCCTGAACCATGCTATTCTGCGCTAAGAAGCGGAGACTCTCACGGAGCCCAGAACTGGCAGCCAACAGCGGCTTTTTCGGATTCGTTGTTTCGAACTACCATTTGGGACTCTGAGCGTGATGGACACCTCTCCCATCCTAACTTACATACTGAAGAGTCCATTCTTGCCCATTCGTGTCGGTTGAGCAGGCCTTACTTAGATAGGCTCAGATACATGCAAGCCACACCATGCACCAAAAACCACTCATCTCAGAGTTGTCAAAGCCCTGAGCGGTCTACGCCACACCTTATCAAGTTCGACGTGTAGGACAGCCATATCTTGGTCCGGACCTTTTGCCGCTCCTGCACCAGAGCCAATGAGCCAATGCAGAAGGCTCTGCAGCACAGACGTGAGTTGAGACATGCAGGACAGCTTTGGCAAAAGGACAGGCCCAGTATACATGTATACTAAGCCCAATTCAAGCTGCCATTGTGAGACTTCCCGTTTGATGCAGCAATCCTGGGTTTTTGAAAATGTTTTGATACACCAAACGCCTGCGGAGTGCACATAAATCGACATGTCAACATGGGAGCATGA